TCCGCGGCTGGCGTGGCCCTTCGAGAGGTCTTTCTTGAGGTCTCACCTCGACCACGGTTGGTCTTGCTGGGCCTCGGATGTGCCGGAGGCAGGATGACATTTGCATTGCGGGTGGACCTCCGACATGGCTCCACATCCTGTCCGGTTCTGGTCTGATATTCGGTCGCTTTGGCGTCTAGCTTGCGCTGTACGCCGTTGTTCCCGTTCAAGGCTCTTCGTTCTGCCGTGTTTGAAGATTCTATTGGTTGAACCATCTCGGATCAGATTATTTTAATCGCTGGGATGACTTGCAATGTCTTCCCCATAGATGGTGCCAAATGTTTATGCAAGGATTTGCACAACGTTGATCTAGCTCGAACCCGGTCCTTGCTCTGACCCGAAACATGAAGGGAAGACCTACACAAGAAGGCGAAATCTCCGACGCTCAAGTCAGTAAGCAGCTCAGACTCAATATTAAGTTCGAGGAGAAATTCGATACCTGATGGTGAAATGAGGCCCTCTATTTATAGGTTTAGGTTCCGACAGGGGTTATGACAGGTGGTTACCTTGGTCGGATTTGAGGTCGGATATGTCGGGTTCGATCAGGTCGACCTCGGCAACATTCTTGGAAATGTCGAGTGAATTCCTTAATATGAGGTGGTGAATATCCCATCTCGGAAGGATCCGAGATGGAGCTCCATAAGTTCATTCCTCTAATTCTTCTGTTAATAGCGAATCCCCGTCCTCCACGTGGCTAAAGTGTATTTCTTCCCCAAACAGAGGTAAAATCCTAAAGTCATTATAATATCTTCTACTCTCGAATATAGGATATATTCTCCTGAATCTAGAGGAAATTCTAAGACAATCAGGATATCTTCTCCTTTTGAATTCCTTATTTGAATTCGAATTGTAGAAAACAGAGTTTTTCTCATCCATAATAATAGCATCCACTCTCAAAGTTGAAGATTGTCAAACTTCTGCTTTGAAAGTAATTTTGTCGTTTATGGGTTGACTATTTTTGTGGAATAACCCTCTTTTTGGTTGCTTTTGGTTGTCGTCTTTATGCGTTGGCTTTCCTAGCCCCTATTCTCTTTTGTCTTAGTTGGTTGTAGCCAAGTCTCTTGGGCTCTGTCATTCGGTTAGTTTTAACCATTAGATTTTGGCCTTGGGATCTAACTTTCAGCAGGATCAGTGGTACTTCCTTTGGGTTTCTAACCTATTTGGCTTTTGCACATGGTTTTATACCCCATGGTTTACTCTTGGATTTCTAACCTATTTGGCTTTCGCGAATGGATTTACACCCTTAGTTTAGTTGGCACCCTTGGGTTTCTAACCTATTTGGCTGATGCGGGTTATTTACCCTGTGTTTAATCAATACCTTTGGATTTCTAACCTATTTTTGCTTTTTCCAAATGGTTTTATACATTGGGTTTCGTTGATTAGTTTGGCCTGCTCGCTTTCTATTTTAACCTTTCGGGCCTGTACGCATGCCTTTCAACACCTTTGGGATTCTCTTCCCCAATTTTGCTGACCGACTTTTAGCTTATCTACCTGCTTCTAGATTTGTCCCAATTCGAATTCTTTGACCAATTGTTGATTAACTTACCTAGGACCTGTCCTAGAATTTGTTGATTCGTTCATTTTGGGTCACGCCTTAGAACTTATCGATTTGCATTTCCCTCGGCTACCTCAGGTAGAGGCAGCATCTGAGTCGTATGGCATTCGTTGTCAAAGAGTTGTGGTCAACCTCCATAATCACTGTCAATTTGTTTCTCCCAAAATCTCCTCGGATTCGAGCAATTCTCTGTCAATTTGTTGTCAATCGTCTTGACTTTTAGATCTTAGTCGTTCTCATAAACAGAGCCAATTGTTGATGCAAAAATTTGGCCTCCGTGGATTTCGCCAAATTCGCACCAATCTTCTGGAATTAAAGGGATCGACAAAACCTACAAAATAGAAGAGCACTAAATAATTGTAGCCACAAGCATGCTCCGATGCTCCAATGCTAGTGTTCCCACAAGCATGCTCTGATGCTTAAGTCAGAATCGGAGTAGTTGAGTATGGAAGGTAGGGTAGTTCAACGTAGCAAATAGAAGGGACTTGTAGACAAGTTTCAAAATGTCAATGTTGACGGATATTTCGGGAAAAACCACAAAAATGATAAAAATTGATGTAATTTTTTTTTTTAATTATTGTAGCTTAATTATACTATATTGATCATTTTTTACCATCATATGTAGAAATATGAAAAACTTAGTTAAGAAAATTTCGAAATCAACAAAAATATTAGGAAGATTGATAGAAATTGTTTGAATTAGTAAATTAAAGTTTTACTTGCTATCCTATTTATTGTCAAAGAATTTATAAAGTCAACATTAACATATAATGTTATTATAAAATAATACAAATTTAAATTTCAAATCCTAACCGAAAATTTTTTTTTTAGTCCATATTTGAATTTATTTTTGCTCAAATCAAATAATTGAAAGAAAATTTGAATTTAAATTTGTTTTTAATGTGGAATGATTCAAATTATTTTAAAATGATTAGTATTAATACTAAAAAAAGTGGAATAAGTGAAAACTGCATAGATCATTCTCCTCCTCCCATGTATTTGTTTTGATTCTTGAGAGAAACCAAAAAAATTAGACGTGGCATAGCTATCCTTCTCTTCTTCTTCCGTGGCAGCCGCTCCGACCCACAACCACTCACGTTCCTAATTCACGCCGGTGAATGCTTTTTAAAAGTCCGGTGATGATAGAATTTTGATTGTTCCTGTTTGTTTATCTGAGGAAGGTTTGAGAGGGAGGAGGAAGAGGAGGATTATGTTGCTTCAGACTCAACAGAGGGGAGAAACGGTTGAGGAATCTTTAATTGAAAAATCTGAAGGGGAGATGCTAAATTGCTAGCAGAGGGGAGAAACTGAAATGGCGGTCGCTTCATTGGATTACGACAATCAATTGAAGAATCAAAGAGAAAAGAAGGGGCGATACTAAAGTCCCAACAAGGAAAGAATCGAAATATCCACGACATTCGAAATTTCCACGACTTATCGACAAATCTTCGATAATCTTCGAGAGGAGGGGAAAACGAAATTCCCTTCCCATATCGACGTTGATTATGTCGACGTCAGTGCTTGTAGCGTACCTTCATTATGAGTATTTACCTTCTATTTATAAAGGTAAAATCCTAAAGCCCGATATCTTCGAATATAGGATATATTCTCCTAAATCTAGGAGAAATCCTAAGACATCAGGATATCTTCTCGTTTTGAATTCCTTAAATAATAGGAATTCGAATTCTAGAAAATAGAGATTTTCTCATCTATAACATTGCATTTATGTATCTCTTTCTCTATCTCTATTTACATTGTTATTATCGATGTATCTTTATATCTATTCTACATCGCTAGTATCTCTGTATCTCTATCTCTATCTACATCTATATATCTCTATCTTTATCTGTATCGCTAGTATCTCTATTACAATCTATATCACTAGTATCTCTATTTCTATCTATATCACTAGTATCTCTACATCTCTATCTCTATCTATATCGCTAGTATCTATGTATCTCTATCTATATCACCTAGTATCTCTATATCTCTATCTCTAAATATTTCGATAGTACTCTTTGTATTTATATCTTTATCTATGTCGCTAGAAGGTATTTTAGTAGTTTAACTTGCATGAATAAATAGACAATCTTTCCTTTTTTAACTTCATTAATAGGATTTTAGTCTTCCTTTTGAGAGTAAGCAAAAGAAACGGGTTCTTATTTTTCATAAGAGTTGTGAAGGGAGTATGAACATTTTGTTTTAGTTAAAGTTGCTAAATTAAAAAAAAAGTTTTAAACAAAAAGAAAAAAATGAATTAGAAAATGAAAAGTTTATCAGGAAAAAAGTAACTATAGAAAAGAAAAAAAAATTAAACAAATACAAACTAACTAACGTGGTTTTTTTTAAAATTAAAAAAAAAACAAGAATATTTTTATATTGAAAAAAAGAAGAGAATC